TAATACCCCTTCCCTTCGTCTCCATTCATATTATTATTTATCTCCCCCATTTTTATTTATCTGAGGAAACATTTCTGTCATTAGGGCAAGGGAAAGAAAGGGGGGGGAAGGCTTCTGTTGCCATAGCAGCCACTTGGTCGGGCGATTGTCCCTCTGTGATTCCACTTGATGGAAAGGGCCAGACTCTTCTCTACTGGCATTTGCCCAAGACAGATTCAAGCTGACAGGTTCTTTAGGATCTGAATCATTTATAAAGCAGAGGCCACATGGGTGTGCATGTACATGGGCATGTGTGAATAGAAAAAGGGGGGAAGGAAACATGGGTGGTGCTAGGCACATGTGTTACAGGCAGAGCACGGAGGAGGAGACTGGCATTGTATGTTCTGCACAAACTTTCATCCATTCTAGCAAAACCCCTGTTAGATTCCAGCTAGTCCTTCAAATCAAATCAAAATACATTTATTCTGTAACAGTGAGAAGAGCTCTGGAGAGCAAAGAGACCAAGGGGACAGAACATAGGACTGCTCCTTTCCCCCCCCTCAGCCCCACATATGGGCTTGATCTGCAGACATTAGTAAATGAATTGTGCTTTTCGTGTTGCATAAAAAGCCACTTTCTGCTTTAGAGGCACAAGACTAAGCCCGCAATTCTTTTCAGGCCATTACAGCAACTCTAAAGGATGCAAGGAAAAGTTCTTCAGGGATAAATCTCTCTTTTATCTTTTTACCAATCAATATCCTTCTCCCATGGTGACAGGAAAACCAAGCATTCTTCCTGACTCCTCAGCACTTTGGAGAACTCCTGTCATCTTTTTTTTCACTGAGGTTTGCCTTGAAAAGCAGTCAGATTCTACTCCTGCGCTGTTCCGGTTTCTATAGGCGTAAGGCAAAAGAAATGGAAAGGGGGAGAGTTGCATAGCAACCCCACTCAGGACAGATGAGCTGCCATCATTTTTTGCTTGGCAAGACCTGGTGCCTTTAAAACAGGCACAATTCTCCCAGCATTTAAAAACATTATTTCAATAAAGCAGGTTGTTGCTGCTGTATAAATGTTGTTTATAAACCAAGGCTCATGGGTGTTATGTAATCCCAGCCAAGTGTGAGTCAACACATCATGGTTAAACAAACCATGGCATAATGTGCAAATCCAAACACCCTCCTGCAAATTTCTTTCTGTTAAGTAGAAGGAATATATTATTTAGATAAGTGTTGTGAGATGCAGGTCAGTTGGGGCAGGCTAAAGCAAACAATCAGAAGGGCAGGTGCAAAACTGAACAGGAATCACTCACTATCTCTTTTCCTCAAGTCACATCCTTCTCTGGAATCTGTTTTTCCTTTTCTCCCTTCTCTCTCCCTGCCCCTCTCCAACGCTCTGTTTTTCTTTTGTTTACCTCCTTCAGCAGTTTGCCAAGTGAGGGGCCTTCTTACTAGGGATCTGAATTGCTTGCTTGAAAAGGCCTTATAAATTCCTCTGAGGAAGCATATGCTTTGGCCAAGAGCCACATGCCAACTGAGGACTGTAGGTTGCTCCCCCATTGACTAAACACATTCAGAAAAAAAGAGAGGGAAATTCAAGAACAGAAATGTCCATTTGGCCTATCAGGGTCATGGTCCCCAGGTCAGATGTGTAGAATTGAGGCAGCAGGAAGGAAACCATTTTACTACTGAATCCCATCTCCTGCAAAGTATGATAATATATGTCCAGATACTTCAGTAAAAGAAAGATTTAGAGCAGGTGTATCAAACTGCTGGCCCGCAGGCCAGATGCATCATAGTGAAACCATGCCCACCCCATTGCCGGCAATGGCAAAAAAGTCACGATATGTGACGTTGCGAGTTTGACACCCCTGATTTAGAGCCAATTAATATGATGGCTTTGCATTAAGGCTACTATCACAGGTCAGTTGAAGACCTGGATAAGTAAAAAAAAAAGTTTAATGGCAAAAAAAAGTCCACTGGATAAGAACCTGTCAAGACTCTTCAAACCAAAGCTAATCTTGGATAAACCTGGATCTGAGCTGTAATTTCATCTGCAATTTTTTTTCCATATATTTTATTGATTTTTTTAAAACATAAATTACTTAATAGTTGGTAAACAGTGTGTTTGCTGGATTTACATTTGTAAAGAAAAATCATTAACAATTGGTTTCTATAATCCACAATCCACATAGTACATTTAGTTGATTTCCCCTTTTCCCCAAAATGTCTTCTTTGCAAACCTTGAAATAATACAGTTCTTATTATTTTGATAAATAACAATTACATATATGATTTTTCCCAATATTCCTAGAAATAATGATCACATCAATATAATATTTCTTTTCTATCTAATAATTTTAGTTGCCTCAACTTATTGTTACAGTCCTTATTTAAATTTGTTTCTCCCATAAAGTTCAAAGTATTCTTGCTGGTTAAGATTTTCTCAACAGTTAATTATGTTTAAAGATTTAAATCCATTTTTCCCATATAAACCATCTCAACACTTTTACATTTCTTAAAGAATAGGTAAAAACAGTAAAGAAAAAAAGAGAGCAAGAGTAAAGAAATATAAAAAGTAAAATACTATTTAAAATATATATTCCTCCTAAGCTAATATATATTAATTCCCCAAATCTCTTATTCTTTTTAACCATGATTAAAATATATTTAATCTTTAAATATTCCATTTAATGTGCCTACTCATCTAATCCTTTAACTCTTATTCAAAACATTTTTTTCTTTTTATACATTATAATTTCCCTAAATTCAAACATATTTAATTATCTAAAACATTTTCTTCATCTAAGCCATTTCAGCAGTATTATATTACTTATATCAAGAAATAAAATAAAAAGAGGGGGAAAAACATACAGTATTATTTAAGGAATTCATTTCTCTTAGAATGACATATGTATTCAGAATCTTTTCTATTTCTTTAACCATATTCAAACAAATGTTTCTTTTTTAAATATTCTTTCTGGTAGATCCCATCATCTATTTTCTTAATTTTCATTTTGATCTTTTCCCTTTGACCAGTATCTTTCTTGATCAATGTGTTTTGCTGAATCAAAAAGTTTTTCCATGTATTCATAACTGTTGCTGTAGGTATAAGACGTAAATTGAATAAAGTGTCTTTATGTGAGGTTTTTGCCTTTCCATGTTTCTCCTTCTTTGCTTCTCTTATCACTTCCTTTCTCTCTGATGTTTTCAACATCTCTATATTCCATTTTATCCAATCTGTTTTTTTGTCCTCAGATTTTGTAGTCTTAAGGGATGAGTTGTTTTTTGCATTTCTTGTAAATTTTTCCCACTAGGATTAAATCATATTTTCTTGCTTTGTTAAGTTCCATCTTTGTGTCTCTATTTTCAATTTTATGTCCACTTATTTATTTTGGCTGCTCCTTCTCTGTTGTTGTTTCCTGGAATTTGTTTTGTTATAAAGTTAACTTAGAGATAGATTGATTTGTATTTTCAAAGTTATTTTGGATTTCTTTGTGATTTGAACTCAGTGTTATTTGAATTAATTGCAGTATACTATATATCTCCTCCTGAGAGGTATTTATGTTTTCTTGGTGTGTTCTGTCTACATGTCTCTGATCAATGAAGGCCAAAAATTGAAGTTTTCCTTCTTATCTGCAAATAGCTTTAGAGTCCCGATTAAATAGATATTTGTAATCCAAAGAGTTCAAAAAAGATTTTTTTCCCTAAAGTTTATAATGCTCTCTTTATCTGCAGCCCAGATGGTTGTCTTTTTTTTGTCACAGCTGTTCTTTGTTATTAAAGCTTTGAAGGTCACAAACACAGATTAGTTTTTCCCAGGTTTTGGCAAGTTCTCTATGGAAATCATAGCTGTCATAATCTTCATCCACCACTAGGTATCAGCATCTATTTAGTTTTCAATATGAAAAATGGTCTTTAAAATGAGAATCTTAACCATTCAACAATCTTAAAAATTGTCCAAAGTTAAATTTTAGCTTTCAAGTTTATAAATTTATTTCACTACCATATATTTTGGTCCTCCATAGAAATTTTAATTTGCCACTTCCATTAGTATAAGGATGGGCGGAAGTCCCCCTCCTTCACTTTCAGAGGTATTTTGCTTCTTGGGGATCTTTTCCAGGAAATTAAGTGTAAATAGAAAAGGGAAAATCAGATTCCTCACCCAGTTTCAAACATGCTGTTTACTGTAGTACTGCTTAGTTCTTTTGGACTCCGGTTGCAAGTAGCTTGGGCTGATCGATGAAATACAGCCTTTCTCCTGTCAGATTAGAAGGCTTTCTCCAAGATGAACAGAACGACCGCCATCATTCCAGAGTCACCGGGGCATTTCTTTGCCACCTCTCTGGGGTGGCTTGGACCCATTAGGGTCTCCAGGCAGGACAAAGGTGGGCCACGGGGGTGCGGCGGTCTGCAAGCCTGTGACCAGTCACTACCACGCAGGACCAGAAGTCCTTCATCTGCAAATTATGGCCTATTCCCTTCCTTCTATTATGAAACACTAATGTACACAGAGAGAAAGAGAATGTGTGTGGGGGTATTTGTAAAGGAAACTGAAAACAAGGGAATTAATTCATATAGAAATGCACTCTCAAACATATTATTAAGAACAAAACAATTAAAGGAATGAAGGAATGAGACAACACTAGCACTAAAGGGCATTGTAAAATTCTTGCTGAATATCTTTTTATGTTAATGATCCCTCTTCAACAGCACATTAACTGATTAATTGAACACACATTTGCAAATTCGGAAATAGTCCTAGGTCAGCATGGCCACGGAGGATAGAAATTATAAAGGTACAATACGTTGGGAAAGGCTACCAGAGAAGATCTAATGTATGCCTTCATGGAAGTAAATTAAAACTGCAAAATGAACAAACAGCACCAGGTAAATATGCCTTTGCCTTTGAAATATGCAGTATGAGAATACTGATGTTGTGTTCCCATCATTTACCACAAATGAAAGAAAGGTGGAACAGAAGCAGGCAAAATTCCTTAGAAAGAGTAGAGAGCTTTTTCCTACCTATGTTAGGATGTTTCAGAAGACGGCAGATCCGAGCCTCTCGTTCTAGCTTCTGATGATCTGTCAGGAAAGACATTCACAAATTAGCATGGGAGAGAGAGATGCTCAGCGACGAATGTGATTACCTCCCATTATTATTAACTTGGGATTTAGAACATGCAAATCCAGTTACCACTGAATATTTGAAATGGTATACTGCTCTTCACAATACAGAATCAGAAAGTGAATTGAAACACAGGATATAAAATAACAACAAGAATTAGAAGCCCCTACATAAGGGAGGGAATTAAGGGATACACTGGTAATAATATAGGATATCTCAAACTAAAAGTAGCAGCAGGAGATTGCAGCTGGAATACCATAAGTCAGCCTTTATAGCTCTTCGTTAAGTAATCCTAGAGTTGTATACTCTGAAGCAAGTCCACTGATTTCCATGGGACTGATTATTTAAAAGCTAAGCAGAGTCTGACATTATTTGAGTTGGAAGACTATCAAGAAAATCCAGGCATGCAAGCTCTGCTGGGAAGTTAAACAAGGAATCTTAGAAGATGTTTCCATGAAAATTGACTCATTCCATTTGCCCTGAGTCGCATATAAAATACCTCAGCTTGTGTTGAAATGAGATAGAAGAAACTTCACATAGCTATCATTCTCCATTGTGCTGTAACTGTACCTCAGTGCTTCAGGACAAAGTCTCACACCACAGCAGAGGTGACAAACATCAAAAGCTAAGCTGTGTATGTGTAAGAACATCACAGTCCTTTCTTTGTTGCTCTGCTTTTTAGGCGGTTTTGTTGTTGTTGTTAGCTTTTTTTAATGTCTATTCCAACAGGTATATAGAAATAAACCCTGAAGCTTAATTCTCTTTTCTTCTTTAAAAAATAGTTGCATGCCTGAAAAATGTTGTGCAAATGGATCTGAAATAGCTGAAAGTCCTCCACTAGTCCTTTAGTAACTTATCTGTTATGTGTAAGAAAAATAAAACTGCCCAAACCAATGCTTTTTATGCCAGAAACCCTGTTGGCATTTTGGGAAGCTACTAAAATCTGGCTATTTCTGAAAATCTTTGAGAATTGGTCGGAGATTGAGTTTCCATTCTACAGGAGGTTATTAATATTATGGAGAATGGTTTTCCTCACTGTAATTATCAATACTAATATTTTTTTTTTATTATTATTTTATTTTTTAAACCAACAAAACAAAACATAACGCACATACACACACAATATATACTCCTCCCCTTTTTTTAACAGCGATTTCGTAACGGTAATCTTCTATTATTTACATTTCCCCCCTTATTCTTTGTTAGAATATTTGTCCTTGTTGCCCCATTGTTTCTTATTTACATTTTTCTTCCTTCATACTATACTTCATACTAAGAATAATACATATTATTATTACTATACATTATTATACACACATTTTCCACTTTTGACCTTTCCACATTTATTCTCCTCTATTATTTCTAGTCTCCAACCAGTCATACCACTTGTTCCATATTAGATAGTACTCTGTGTCTTCCTTTTCTTTTATCTCTTTTGTTAATTTGTCCATCTCAGCATAGTCCAGGATTTTTCTTATCACTTTTTCCTCTGATGGTATATTCTCATACTATTTTTTTTATTATGATTAACATGATTTGACTGGTTTGTGGTCATTTTGTTATTGACTTTATGGTATTGTACCTTTAGACTCTTTTATCAGCATGTGCAGCGTACCATATATATTGCAGGAAATATTTATATAAGTAAGTATGTGACTGGCAGCAGTCCTTTCAAGTTTACTAGGAATACTTTTGAGCAATTTGTCATTTACTACCATCTGAGTACATGGTATTTTATGTTAAAATTGGTCTAGTCAGAGAACTTTTAATTTAGAATCTAGTAGAGGAGAATGAGCAAAATGCAGAAGGGAAGTAAAAGTGACTAAAAGCAAAATATGTTTAGTCCAAGTATTCATTACCTAGTAAGAGGCAAAATCCTTCACCATACCATGATGAAGAGGAAAGTGGCAAAGGTTTCTTTAATCCTTTTCCTTTCAAAGACTAAAATAATGGGCTATATAAAAGGCTACCTAACAGAAAATTTGTAACATTTTTTCCCTCAGTTTTATACATTAGTAGAGAGGTAGTTTAGCATAATGGTTAAGGTCCAAAGCTAGAAATTGGGAAACTGTGAGTTCTAGTCCCACCCTGTCAGTCACTCCTTCTCAGCTCTAGGAAGGAGCCAGTGGCAAACCACTTATGAAAAACCTTGTCAAGAAAACTGCAGGGACTAATCCAGGCAGTCGCCAGGAGTCAACATTGATTTAAAGACAAAAAATAACAGGATTATTATTATTATCTTTTATTCATTAGACATGAACCTCAGTCAACGGAACATTCAAATTGGCTGGCGCTGATGGTTGACATGGGTTGCTATCGGTATCCTATTATTATTATTATTATTATTATTATTATTATTATTATTATTATTATTATTATTGATCATCACACAGTCAGTCAGATGTTCAGACTGGATTTGGCATTTTTGTCTACCTATCGAGTCCTTATCAAGGACCTGGGATAGGCAGATGTGGATGTTTGATAGTATTACAGATATCGTCGCAGGATGGAAGCAGTTTTGCAACTGATCAATGGCGAATTTGTCAATGTCAGTGGTGTTCAAGTGGTGGTCCAGTTGTTTTAGGATTGCACCCAAGGTGCCTATTACTATTGGTACTACCCTTGGTTGCCTTTGCCACAGTCTTTCTATTTCTATTTGTAGGTCTTTGTATTTTGTTATCTTCTCCAGTTCTTTCTCGTCTATTCTACTGTCTCCAGGCACTGCCATGTCCACTATCCAGACTTTTTTGTCTTTCTTATCGACAATTGTTAAGTCCCGGGTGTATTATTATTATTATTATTATTATTATTATATTATTTATATTTATATTATTTATATTTATATGCCTCCCATATCACAGTTCCAGGCGAATCTGGGAGGATAAACACAATATCAGAAAAACATAAAGCCAACTTACCAGTTTACATTATTACAAGGTGGTAATAAACAGCTGTGATTTTAAATTGTATCTATTGCCTCTAGAATGGTTTGCCAAAATGGATTCAGAGTTACTGTTGTAATACAAAGCAACATAAAAATGAGCTATTGAGATTGAACCTGAGGTATCTGGCTCAGTTAGATTTCACTCATATATTAAATACGTCCATACTATTGTTTCTAGTAAGTTATGGAACAATGTAGAAGAAATAATTGTTTCTGAGGATCTTTCCTCCTGGTCTTGCTCCTAACTTTGCTACAGGGCTTTATAATTGTAGACATTTTAATTGGTGCTTTTGTAAATTAACTTGGTAACTGGAAGGTAATTGCTGAAAGCAATTACATTTTTTTCCCTAGTGGATGAAAGAATTCCCACCCACCCCCAGCCCACCCCCAGCACGCCTGCATGTTGCTCTGTATACATTCAGAGGAAAATCAGCAATAACAGTTTGAGTGTAGCCTTGGTGGCCATCAGTTAATTGTAACATGCACAGCAGTGTTTCTGTTCCTCTACAAGTGTCTTTCTCCTTTGCTGCAGGAAGCAAAGAAATGTTTTAAAAACGGTGCTGGTAAAAGAAATGAATGCATAGCTAGAATGGAAAACTTTTTCCTGGATCAATTTAAATTACCTTTTTCTTTTAAGGACGTGACCTTGTATTTTTTTTCCTACTTTCATAATGATTTTAGAAGGAATAAATTCATTCTCCTTATTAACTATAAACAAACATGGTGTGAGCAGAGAACACAACAAAAACTCGATCTAAAGGTGAGCAAAGAAATTTCTTAAAGGTGAATTCTAATTTTCTATTCAGAATAGAAGTCTCAGACATTTAACTCCTTAAGGATCCCGTTACTATCCATGCTGGTCTTTCCCTCAATAACTGAGGTTCTCCAGGCAATATCCATTTAAAATATAGAAGAATCTGAGCACAATGTAGAAGAATAAAAATCCTAGCAGTAGCACTTAAGATAAAACCAGCAGCAAATCCAAAAGGAACACAGGATGTTCACTCAAATCATGTTAGGTACAGCGTCAATTCAGCTACTGTGATTTATGGCTGTCAGCCCTTTGAGTTTATGAATTAATGGAAATTTTGAGCTGTCAGCATCATTTGTAACTTAGTAGTGTCAACACTGAGGCATCATTTTCCTCCTTCTGTTATTGACAGACAAACAAATTTTCAACTCTGAGGTCCTTGGAGTTGCATTAGCAACATCACTGTAAATTATAGGCATTTGTTTCTTTACATTGTATAATGTGATCATTTGCGCATGTGTCTTTACAATTTGTTGGCTGCTTGGTGCATTCAGTGCATTTCCTGGGAGCATAATATTCCTCCTTCAAATATATATGAACATTGCGATAGCAGACATATGTATAGCTCAGTGTTTCATGTTGTGTTGTTAGTGTTCTCTAAGCTACATTTTGAGGTTGCACAGACTGCATTACATACTATATAAGGTAATATCATCAATGCAGGAGATAGAAGTGAATGTGATTTATGATTTGGGCATGTCAGTTGACACCAGTATTATCCTGTCATTATCTGAACAAGGGTAGAAAAATAGGGTCTGTTGTGTCCTGAGCCTGCAAAAGCAGGCTCAGGATGCTGCAATGGTCCCGGGCATTCCAGAAGCTGCCCGGGACCAGACTGAGAGGCACCAGCCTTGTGCGCATGTGCAAGGCGCGAAAGCACTCCGCTTTTTGTTGCCATTGTGTCCGGGGATCTGGTCAGATAAAGAGAGGTCTGCGTGCCTTTGCTCGTTGTTGGTGTTTGGCTGTTGAAAGAATAAAGAGCTGTTAACTGCAGAACGAGTCTCCATCATTCGCCCTCAATCAAAGGACATAACAGGGTCAATGTCAGCATCTACAAATAATTAGCTATTCAAGGGTGTGAGGTCCCACAGTGTGAACTGCAATCTGAGAGTAGTGCTCCAAAAGTGAAAAGACATTGAAGAAGGGTTTATTTTTTGCTCCATGTGCCTCTGCATCAGGAGGAGCATGTCTTTATGCAGTTA